TATGAATTGAAAATTCAATCTCTCTATGATAATGTGTTATGGCTACTTGACCTGATGTACTTACGTACGAAGTTTTACGTTGTTGTTGAATGAGTGTTTCTTGAATTATAAGGTATATATTCTGTTTTTTTTTAAAATCTTTACGTATTACAAATAATTCATACTTTTTTTCCAGTATTCAGCTATTTATTTTGTGAGGTTAATTGGTTTGTTAAAAGTTTAGTTTATAAAGTCATTGGTTACATCAACGATAAATCATAAGCTTACAATGAACTTATTGAAAGATTTCTATCAGTTAGCCACTAGTTGTTAACTAACACACAGATCACTACGTAACAACAGATGCTATGTTTATCTGCTCCTTAGTATTTGAATTCTACCATTCAAGCTGCGAAATGAACAATCATTTCAGTCTTATACAAAAACAGTCATAATCCGAATAGCTTGGTGGCAATGTAACACACTACTTAATTCAGTAATGCATAAATGAACACCACAGAAAAGACACCAGCTCTGTCAATATTATCGATACGCTTTTCTGAAGAATGGCAACTAGCATCAAACCTAAATTTCAAGTTTTCTAAGACTACGTTCAACCAACAAATGTCAATTAATATTTTGTGATAACTTAAATGATTTTGGGAATGAAGTTCAACTGACAACTGTTTGCTCCACAAACTTCCGTCATTTGGAGAACTATTAACATCTTATGGCATTGAAAAGTTTTTATGTTTTACTATGGCATCGACTGAGCCCTAAACATTTATGAAATGTCAAAACAGTAGGAAAATTCAGAAACTATCATAATTGAACCGAAAATATGCACATAGGAAAATAAAAGTTATGAAAAATATTTTTCATACAGACTAATAAATCAAAATAACATACTGAGATGTGAAATAAAAAGGATCTTTGTCTATTTTTATAATCTTTCTTTTTATCGCATATAAGTAATTTTTCTGTTGTGTAATTAAATTATTTTACACTTTAAAATAATGCATTTGATACTATACAATATTCTTCACTCAACTTATCAATGGTTCTGTACTTTGAAATATATTTGGTTGTGATTAGAAAATAGGTTCTGTCAGAAATTTATCACTTTGATTATCCTAATAATCTCATACATTTGCTGATCAAATGGATTGTTATAGCAATATTATGGTGTAACAGTGAGCAATATTTTAAGGTAGTTCACAGAAACTTGTAAATCCTGTGTGCGGAGAGTCAGTTATACATCTACTTCTTTCAAAGCACCACCATGAAATGAAATTTTGCCCACTGACATTCATATAACAATAGCTTTTAATTTCAAGTAATTAGTATAAATCTTCCTCACTCTACAGACTTTCTGAAGCTTTCTTAACATTAACGAACATTACAAAAATCTCCGAAAATTTTAAGCTTTACTTATATACGTCTATAAACAATCAAAATACTAAACTTTATTCAAGATAAGTGTTGGGGATGTTAGATCCCCAGAACTCGCTTTATCAATTTCTTTATTTTGGATTCATTTCATTGGCCGATTAGTTGGCCTTGGGATCACATTTCCCACCGGGAAAATCCTTGGCTGTGATTGGTTACTGTCTCATTTTAGTGTGCTATTTTTGTGACTGTCCCAAGGACGTCTCGATGGCGCGATTTGTGTGCTGGCTGGGTGTTTGTAGAATACAATTTCTACACTACATCAAGACTTCTTGCTGGCGCAATCGGGACAATCGGATTACAGTAGCCTACCTGAACGCTGGTCCATTGTTTTGTTCTCGTTATTCGACTAAGGTGAACCCATAATAGGTCTAAGCATATCTAGAGACGAGTATAACAACAAGAGATTGTTTTACCAATTAAACTTGATAACGTTCTCATTGTTATTATTCTGTTGCAATAACTGCTACACAATGAAACCTACAAAAATACTAATATATTTATATTGTATAAATAAATAATTGAATTACAAAAAGAAGAACGTAAACAAATAATTATGACAACTTACTATCATTGCGAATTAATTACTTTCTGAAGAAATAAATCAGTAAAAATAGTACAGAACACTTTTTTAATCAGTCTAAAAATTGTATCCATTGAGTCAAATTACTTTTTGACATTGAAATATTCAAAACTATAGTTGTGGTCTGTTATCAAATGTTACTTGTTTGGAATAATTGAAAATGATCAACTTCATTGTCACAGTATTTAAAAAAATCACTCATCACAAGTTGTACTACTGAATTAAGTGACATTACATTCTACTATTCAATAATAATCTGAAGTAACATAAATATTACAATATAAATTCAACATCAAAGTAAATGGAAACCTTCATAGACATCAGTAAAACAGTTCTATAAACAAGAAAAATACACTGAGAGTGTGTTTTAAATGTTTCTAAAAAAATTTTAAGATATAAAAATGTTTTACCAATATAGATGGTTGGACAAAGCTATATCCCAGTGTTGACCTTCATACTATGGCTGAACTATAGTACTCACTTTTTTTAATTGTGACAGCATTCATTACACATAGAGATGCTAGGGTAGTTATAATGTAGTAAATCACAATTTATGGGATTCATTAACACTAATATGCAAGATTATCCTGCCACGGAATACCTGCTAGGCAGGATTTCTCTTCATAAATTCCACTACTATTTACCATTGAAATTACATTCAACTTGTAACTTTGAAGGACACCGATTCCATCAGTAACAGAAAAATAAAAAAGAACTCAAAATTTATCATCAGAATTAATGTCGACTAAACAAGTTATTTCATTCTTTTTTTTCAAATTCCTCATTAATATTCCCTAAACTAAAATCCTTAGCGACGAACATCAATTGGAACAAGTTGATGTTTGAAAATTTAGAATAAATTATCATACAAATTGAGCCTCAATAAATAGTTTAATGCGATTTTATATTGACAATCATACACAATTCCAGAATACTCAGCTAATATCATCACTTACATATAATCATTTCAGTGACTAATGACTACTGGATAGTTACGACATTATAATTATTCTCTATCGTATGGTATAAATAGTTTAGTTTTTTACAAATAAAACACCAGTATAACCGGTGTCAGTCAATAAAGTTATATTTTCCGAACATTTTTCCGTATATTAAAATTGATCAATCTAAATAGATGAACAACTGTTGTAGTAGCCTCCATATTGTTAACCTTGACAAAAAACAAAAGACATTCAATTGATTTATTCTTGATAAACAAATAATTCATACTAATATGTTGATGATGTTTACATGTAATTTTATTTATTGACTGTCATTCACTTCATTAGATAAATAATTTGATAAATGACCTTAGATAATACTTTATTTAAAAAAAAAATTAAATAATATAACATGCTTGATACTTATGTGAATACAGTCTCACTGAATGTAAGATATTCTGAACAGAAAGAACTATGACCAAAATAGACTGACTATATAACATAAGGTATTGGAACTTAAACTATAACATCCTCTAAAAAATGATTTAGAAAATTCTAGTTTTATCTTTAAATTAACACTAAAGTCGATTTTGCAAATATTCATAACTATTTATACAAAAATTGATAACGTGAACTTTACAACATCGTGTAACAATTTGAGTTTGCTGTTTACTGACTAAACTCAACACTATTGTTCATTAATAATAACTGCGGTGATATTTATTCAGTAAGAAAATATGAACAGAGACAAAGGTAGGGCTGATAAAGAAAATACAAAAAAAATGATATGATTAACAGATTATATTTCGACTGTATATATAAACATAATTTGAAAAAGATTCATCATAATTGTACTTATGAGGTTCGACTAGAGTTAGGATGTAAAGTATTGTACTGAAAAATGATATTTCCAGTGCATTTAAAACCACACGAATTCATTAACAAACAAGTAAAATTTCAAAACAGAAATGAACAATTTTAAAAGGTTAAACTGGACTAATTTTACGCTAGTGATTTCCATTCTGTGTGGCTAACAGAACGAATGACTTTATACACTACTAAACAGTATTTCAATGGCTTAAAAATAAAGTTGATAGATAGGTTTCAACAGTATCTTTTAAGTTCTTCAGAAGATGATATGCGACATTAAGATTACCTATTGCGATGCTGCTCTACATGATTTGTTATTTGTATATATGTATATATATGGTCATACATAGTCGATCACATAAATGTTTGTGTAGTTTCAAAAGAAATTGAAATTTACAACTCTAACGGATTAATTCATTTGACTTTGTAACGTTGTTCTACGCAACTTTTGTAACGTAAATCATTCCTAACTGGAGGTGAAGTATGATATATACATATATATATATATATATATATATATATATATATATATATATATATTCTGCACTTAACCGACACTTCTTTTTGTTGATTGCAAATTCAAATGATAACCAATGTTCCTAACATGTGGTAACTTGATTATTTATAAACTGATCAATTGTGTAGAAAGTCCATACACGCATAAATCAATCAAACTGATTGCCTCAGCCGATTGTTATTTTCTTGAAAATATTACTTAAATTTGATATGTATTTATTTCACTTTAAATCGCTGAAAAAAAATGCAAAGGGAAATACTTTTAAATCTAGCAGATTCATCACAACATAATATCACTGGATCACAGTGTTGAAACATGTCATCAGAGTGTGTGTGAGAGAGAGAGAGACAGACACAGAAAGTATCATGACTATGACTATTTTCTAGTTTATTTTAAAATAAAGTATAAAGGAAATCAATTGAACAACATTTAAACAACGTCATCAATATAAATGAAATTGATCCGTGACATTTAATGAAAATTGGCTTTAATTTAGTTAATTTTTCCAAATTTAGCAGGCTCATTCAAATGCAGTAAACGTGAGTATCATTGGTTGATTAATTCTTGCATAACTTCGTATTTCTGTAAAAGATCAAGTTAAATATGTTTTTATTAACTATTGAAAATTAGAACAGAATGAAATTAACAACGATTTTCATACTTGTTTATCTGATGTAACAGATGAACTCTCATTTGGACTACCAGAATTTTCACAGTCATATTGTTGTTCATCATTATTTTGGTGTTGATGCTGATTAATCGTAACGTTATGAACATCATATCCAAGATATTGATTATAGTTTTGTTTTATATATGTTTGTGATTGATGCATTTTCTCATTGATTTTAATGGAATTGTGTTGTTCCATGGTTTTATTTTTCTCATACCATATACACCAAGCTTTGTTTGGCAATCCAGAATAATGTGAATAACTGCCTCCTTGTAACGATTCAATAACAGCTTGTTGAAAACTCAATCCAGATGGTATAATAAAACGCTCATTAATTGGATCTTGCTCGTTTGGTTCATAGAATAGAAATAACAAACCATCAATGATAGATTTCAAGCCCATTTCACTAATTTAAAGACAAAAAACAAAGAAGATACAATGAAAAACAAAAGAATCATTCATGATTACTTTAAATGCCAAGGATGCTTAATTAAAAAAAATTTAAAATATGCAGTGATTATTTTTTTTTCGTTATTTTTTCAAAACAGAACTGTTTTTATCATGTATTTGCCTTTATTGGAAAAGATGTATATGTTTATATTTATATATTTTGTTTCATCCAAAGGAACTTCACAAATAACTCCGAAAGAACTTGTGTAACAATTAAAATGTGGCTCTATCACACTTTCAACCTCATAAACATGGAGTTACGCCACTAAAGAAACAGATCAGTTATAGAAGTAACTTAACAGTTGATTTGTGCTCGAACGAAACCATTTAAGAGTAAGAGTCTTACTCGATATTCAAAACTTACATCGTCCAATTATGCAGTAAATTAAGGCAAACAGCTCCACCAATATCATAATCTTCAATATTTGGATGATATATATGACTCAAGCAACGGACAACTGGAGTTTCTCCATAATGTTCCAGACGAATTATGATCTTTGAAAAAAAGGTGAAATTAAATATTTACAAATAGATATAAATTATTACCATCAGGAGAATCAAGTCAGTTTTTTTAAAAAAAACATTTCCGTACCAGTCAACTTTGTCAAGCATTTCATCGAAAACATTATACTGATCGTACGAAGCGAATAGATGATACATAATGTTTCAAGCTAACATAACAAGTCAGATATAAACTGTATATAATCTGTAATCAGAAAGTGAATCATCCACTTAACCATCAAAGGTCACAACTTACATAACCATGTCTGTTTCTAACCGACTATTTTTAAAAATACATGTGTTGTAAATTAATTGGCTAATATGATTTCCTAAGGAAACTTAATTTTTTTACTCTGTCAAATAGCGTTTCCAAGTATTACAAGTATGTCTCAGTAACAGATTTAAACTTTAGATCATAGACTATTCTGAAGAAGAGGAATTTATGTATGAATTTTGATTTACTTCCATCAGAGTTGTGTTAATTATATTCCAGTTTCTAACTAGTCTGTGTAACCCCTATCCACCGATAGAATTATTCGTGATAACATAAATATATTATCAAGTTGTTAAAATTAAATACTAAATAAAAGTAATCTTCAGTAATCAACTCTGCCTAAATGACTTCATGTTTTTAAGCGCAATCATAAAAGATTTAAATTACTGACTTCCTGAATCCAATAAATCAGATAGTCAGATATAGATTCTATAGAAGACACCAATACCTTCAAGCATAACTTGAACTTTACCAGTATTCTCGTGAATAATTACGAAAAAAATATAGTACACTATAGTGTACACTAGACTAAACATGAAAGTAGATCGATGATGTAAATGGTACGCACCAATAGTCCACAATATCAACATAAAAACAATTGTGGATCTCAAGCTTATCTAGTATTAATCTACAAATTTTACAAAAAAAAGAACTCAAGTTTGACTAAATGACATTTCTGTCTCTGTCACGAGATACTACTCATTAGATGTTCAATAGAAACAACTATAAACCTTGCATCTAATTTCAATAAAAAAAACACTCAATCAATCAAATTATCAAGCTTTCTTCAACCAAAAAAGGATGATATAATTTGAATCAATCAAGTGACATTAATGCCTTATAGAAAGATGAACAGTATGTAGTTTTATATGTATGAAACATTTCATGTAAACTCCACTGTTTTCGTATGCGAATATTATCACACGTTTAGGAAAAGTTTAAAACTAGTTTCGTGAAAATCAAATTAGATATTGAATAAATTTTTAATTTGATGAGTTTTGTTTTAACAAGATAAGGTGGATTTCATACTGTTTAGTGCAAATATCATATATGATCAGTTCACCTTCTTCTTAAGGAGTTTTGTTCAAAAATAATATCACCAATCGAGTTCAAAGGTTAATAAATTTAACACTTGTCAAATATATCACACATTTTCAATGATTCGTAAAATCGAAAAAATAAACTTAATAATATATTGTAAAAAAATTTTATTTTATGATCTATCGCTTTTAACCATTGAGTAAAGGAGTTATCATGCAACAACTACATCTTATTATTACAAGTTGTTACGTTCGTCACTAGGTACGCTTGAAGCTATTACGAGTTCACCTTAGTCGATAAACGTGAACGAGACAATTACCAGCGTCGGGATAGGCTACCTTGAATCCCAAGCTGAAGATAGAAGTCTTTGTAAGCGTAGAAAGTATATTCTGCAAACACCCAGCAATCACAATACAATCAGGCACACAACTCTCGATTATTTATACATCAGAAACGTCCTTGGGACAGTTAAGAAAATAGCACACTAAAATACACAGCAGCCAATCACAGCCAAGGATTTTCCTGGTGGGAAATGAAATCTCAAGGTCAACTGATCAGCCCATGCTCGCAAACGTCAAATCCAAAGTGAGGCATTTATCAAGCGAGTTCTGGGGATCTAACATCCCCAATACAAGTGACTATGAAACTATAGTTCATGAAGTGAAAATAGTAGTATAATGTAAAAAGATAAATTTATTTTTACTATTAATCAAATAACCACTTCATAATTTAATATTATTCAGCCTTATTAGTTACATTAGTTTAACAATTCAAAGTGTATGAAATATAATGAAAATAATTGAACAAATATTGAAATATGTCTGTGTAGGAATGAAACCCTTAAATTTGATAATTTAAAGACAATTCATTTAAATGATTGTTGATTATTTGGTTTTTTAGACAAGTCATTTAATTAGAGTGAATTAAAGCAACCAACAATTTTTGATTCTGTAAGTTAAAGTAAATTAAGTGAAAACTATTAACTAAGAATCTTTATAGACTATCAGCAGAAAGAATATGAATTTGAAATATAAAATCAACTTAGTGATTGCGTCCTTCATATTTTTAATAAATGTATTAATCTTGATTAATAAAAAATTGAATCATAATAAAATGGGGCAAAATAATATTTGAATATGGTAACTAAAAAAAGATTTGTTCTAGAAAATAGCAACATTTTTAACATTAAGATATTACAGTTTGCGTGAATTTCAGTGGCAATCGTAATTACAGCAGCATTCATTAAATTAAACAAGATATATTTCATTCGAAAATACATGCTAACTTGAGAACTCAGATGAAATCAATCTCATGTACTGATTTCATAGTTCAGTAGTAAAACCAACCCATGTAGCTAGCTATTCATCATCGCCTGACAAAATTTAAACATAGATCTGTTAAAAATCGTTTAAACTCTAAACGCAATTTTGCAACCGAATCATTAATTACGAGATACGAATGATAAAAACTGTACAAATCACAAAAATAGTTACCTGTTGATGAAAAGAATTTATGCAAGCCAATTTAATCAATGTATTTATGATCACTAAAATGATAATAAACCAGTATAATGAAATAACTCGACCGTAGCTGCTACCTTGATATGGTGGTCAGGCTTCCATATTGTGATGACCCAAACGAGCTATTTTGGCTGGAACATATATTTCTGTAGGTTCTAACATATAAGGTAGGTCGACTGAAGAACGGTGAGACCATAAGCAGCAACTCAAGGTCTGAGGATGAAGTCATACTGTTCACTGTAGGGGGTTGTGGCAGTAGTAAGGTGTTTCCCTCAAAAAACCAGCATCTGCAGCGATAATGCCTTCTCACAAGAAAGGAAGGGGTTAGACAAAGTCGACCATAAAAATGTTAACCAAAACTTACCCTACCAATTTCCGTCTCCGGCGGTAAGGCCACCTGAAGTGCGAAGCTAGAACTTTAAAAAATTCGCTTGAACAGGTCGTGCCTAATCGGCCTCAGTCAGTTGTCCCTTGGGCTTTGAGGTCATGCTCACAGGTCGCTCTGACCAACGCCAATCCGATTTCCTTCTTAGACTCCTCAAGAAGTACCCTTCCACGGTGTGGGTGGCCGGGAAGTAACATCCGCCCTCATACCCATAAAAGCACTCGAAGCCACAATCAGATCCTTTCTACACCTCTTAATAACTCTCTTATCTCCTCGATCAACCCTTCTTTCGATCGTTTGTTACCTCGCGCAACTGAAGCAAACGGTATGAGCTCACGAAACATCATTCATGTTCTCCTGAAACCCCGTACTAAATTACATATTGGAGCTTTTATTGTTCGAGCCCTGTGCGGAGTAGGACAACAGGCTTCATTAGCTAGAGCTCTGGAATCCCGTGCTATTAACCTGTAGTGTGTCTCCAAAACGCGCGTACGGGATCAGAAAAAAATCAATGACTTTATTTCACCTTGTGCAAATATAGAATTTACTTGGTTTGCGCTTCATGTATCTGGAAGTTCCGCTGCTGCTTCCCGGGGTCGCGCTGATGTAGGTCTAGCATAAGTTGTTGTTGTAGGAACATATTACAGGAACAGTTACTCTGTGGATCGTGAGGTTCTGTGGCATTGCCTATCATTAAAAGGTGTACCGAAGAAGCACGTTAACCTCATACAAGCTCTCTACTCGAACACCACTGGTCCAGCGAGAGCTTGTGGCGAACTGTCATCGGAATTCTTTACTTCAAGTGGTGTCCGCCAGAGATGTCGACTTTCTCCATTCTTGTTTAATTTTATCAAAGACATACAATATCCTCGTCAGATTTTTCGGGGGTGGATCTTCTACCAGAAGGCTCGCTTATTGACTGAGAATATGCTGATGACGCAGTTTTATTCGGTGAAGACGCTGACAAAATGTAAAGTCTTCTGAATACCCTGAACAACAATACAAGCATGTTCGGGATGCGGTTTTCACCTTCGAAATGCAAATGTTGCTTCAAGATTAAGTTGCATTTGCACCGGAACTAGTGATAGGGAGTGAAGTAGTCGAGTGAGTCGACCACTTCACACATCTCGGGGGTTTCATCAGCGCTAATGGCCTGGTAACTGACGAAATCTCAGCACGGATGCAGAAGGCTCGATTGGCTTTTGCCATGTTGCGTCACTTATGGGGCAGGAGAGATATCCGTTCGCTAACCAAAGGACGAGTGTACTGTGCAGCAATTCGCTTCGTCCTACTTTATGGTCGTTAAACATGGCCGTTAAGAGTAGAAGACATTCGTAGGTTATTGGTATTCGATCATAGATGTCTACGGAGCATTGATCGTATATGCTAGGACAGCCGAGTGAGCAATGCTGTCATTAGGACACGAGGACTAGGTAAGGATGACAGACCAATTGATGATGTATTGAAACTTCATCAGCTGAGGGGGTTGGGACATGAGTTACGAATGCCCAACTACCGACTGCCTCGTCGAGCTATGTTTTGTGGTGTAGGAATGGGTTGGATGAAAGCTAGGGGTGGCCAAACCAAAACATGTCAGGAATCCATGAAGTTACTGACAAGTGGACTGAGTCATGTTGGTAGATGTAGACTACCTGGTTAGGTTCCCCGAGATGAAAGTCACCGATGGTTAGACACCTGGAGTGATGTGATTCAAAACCGTTTGCAATAGTGCAGGTGCATCCATTCTTTGTGTTCTCTTTAATTCAAATCTTCTGTATTCCTCATGATTTTCATCTATCTCTTCTCAGGTTTATTTCACTAGGTTATACTACTTGAATAACGTTTTCATGCTCTAATCTTTCCGACTGCTGCTCATACTTCTACTACCTCCACCACAATGGGATTTTAATTGAAGATTCGATCTCTCTGTGCTAATGAGGTATGGCAACTTGAACTGATGCACGTACATACTAAGTTCTACGTTTTTGCTAATTGACTGTCTTGTAATGAAAGAAGATTCTATCAGCTAATAACAAGTTAGCTGATGTAAATTCACATAAAAATTTAGAACTGCTAATTTAAAATATTCAGCCAAAATCATTTAATTTAAAGAACTGCTTTTCACCATGATACTGACTTGTTTGTAATTCACTTTCAAGTATATTATTTTTGGAGCATGTAACGACTACCATACAAAGCTGTCCAAACGCAGTTCTGACCATTAGTCAGAATAGTTTTTAAAATGAGAACGTAAAATGCTCCATAATTAAAAATGAATCATCTTGTCAATTCTGGTTACAATGAATCTCCGGATAAATTAATATGGTCAAAAGATTCGGTTCTAAGAAGACACAAATCAATCACCTGTACACAGTAAACATGTTATCAAATCGGTTTTTCACAAGTGAACTCTATGTGCAAAAGTAACATGTGAAAGCTGTTATTTTACTGTAATCCCGACAGTATTAATTTTTCATACTCTATTTATTAGGTGTCAGTACTTCGTTCCATCATTATTTTGCAGCCATCTTTGATTATGTTACTTTACGCTTCAGGTTTCTCATATTCATCAAGTGAACAACTAATTTTCACACATTAGTCTTCATTTGATCACGTTTTGTTTCGATAACTACTCGATTGTTGTACAACTTTCTACTGTTACTTGGAAATTTCAAATACTTCGTTATGTAATCGTTTTTCTTTTAATAAACTACTTTAACTATTAAACCAATTCCTAAATCCAATTGTATACAGCATGAGTAAACGATATCTGTCAATGAAATGTCGACATTTTTCAATGAATTAACATCAGTTATTTTTTTAAAAAGAAATAATGGGTAACTTTTGTTATCGTTCCCTTGAAAGACTTTTTTTGTGGGTATATTTGTATAGAACAATTAGATGAATAATGATTTATTCTATAAACCACAATTGTGAATTAGAATAAAGAACATTTTCGGTCAGATATGAATAATTTTTAGAATGATACATCAATTGGATTATGGCGCGCTTATAATCAGTTTTTCTTTAATACTGAATTTAAATAATGTGATCACTTGTCAATGTTTTTTGTTTGTTACCGCTCTGCTTTCATTTTTGTCTTTCTATCGCCACACAAATTTACATCAATTTTATTTAGTCTCTATTTCGATTAATTTATCGGTCTAGAAATAATCCTCTCATCTATTATGAAGGCACAAATGGATATAGTTTGGGGAAATATTTCCAGAATTCATAAATCATAAATCTTCCATCAGAAAACTTGGCTACCTGACTAAGAATAATGATATCCAGAAAAGGAATTCCAACAGTTTCAAGAGATAGTTTATTGTTAGGATATTCATTAAATATCCTAAGAGAATTATTTTTGGAAGTCTAATTCTATTGGACAATTCCTAGTGGTCAATATTATGGTCATCCTAGCTATCAATATCACTTCAAATATTTTCTATTCGACCTAACTGTATAAATACGCATTGTCTATAACGTTTTTTGACCCGGACCCTAGCGTTCTTTTGGACTCGGACCTCGCACTTTCTGGATGCTTGTAGAATACAGGGTTCTACTTCATATCAAGTCTTCTTCTTTTACTCTTCTTTTACTTAAAATATATCAACTTAACACTAAACGAAATGTAAAAGACTTAAAAAATGAAGAACAATAAGTGTAATACTAAAGTTTTTTAAGAATTCTTGTCAACAGTTTTACGGAATTTTCACGGTGAAACATATATGGTTATTTATGCATAATATTGATAGTTCATGGATTTAGAAAAAAAATGAAGTTATGCATTTTACAAATTCTACACAGAATTCAACCACTAAGTAATTTATGTGATTACTTATTTATTTTATTTCAGAAAATGAATTGATACTAAACATGTTATATGAATTTTTGAGCCATGTCACTCAGGGTCTCTAACCATCGATTATTATCATCTCGCGGACCCCAACCAGGTAGTCGACACCTACCAACATGACTCAATTCACTTGTCAGTGACTTCAGGCATTTCTGCTATGTTTTGATCTGGCCGCCCATAGCTTTCGTCCAACCTATTCCAAATTCGCAAAACATGGCTCGACGAGGCAGTCGGTAGTTGGGCATTCGTAACATATGTCCGAACCACCTCAACTAATGAAGTTTCAATAATGCATCAATTGATCTTCCATTCTTACCTAGCACCCGTTTCCTAATGAAAGCATTACTTACTCAGTTGTCTCACGATGCTCCAGCAATGCTTGGAAGAGTTTAACACCATTAATGTATTTCGAATAAAATAGTGGTTAAAAACAATCGACAAGAAACTATGAATCTACTCTTAAATATATTTGACATTTATCCATAAGGCTTATGATAATCATCATGGAGTTTCATGTGTATTTACCATGATATCATTATAAAAGACATTGTTAGTTGACTTCTACAAAACGGTATAAAAACAAGCAAAACAATGTACCTACACTTATTACGAAATGATAAACTAGTTAGTAATAATGAAGTTATTCTCTATACTACAATAATGAAAATAAGAAAGAACTGTTTATATATTCTGTGTACAAAAGACACAGGCTATGAAAGAATTCACGATACATCATATTATAAACGCTAGTAGTAGTAGTAGTAAAGTGATAATATCTTACTAATTAACATTTCAAAGTCAATTTTATCCCTTACCTCAAATTCAAATTCAGCATGAGCGTATAATCCTTCATTTGGAGAGATTTTCACATGAAATGGAATTTCATCTGACTGATTTGAATTATTATTATTATTATCCCATGATAAAATCTTAGCTTGTCCATTAGTTTCAGTTTCAATTACACGGATCAACTCAGATAATTGTCTCCATACTACTTTGTACATTATTAATTGGTATATATTAGTATCTATCTATTCATAAGATCTGTGTGTGCCACATAAAATACATATATATATATGGTCAATACCAGCTGAAATCTCACTTCTAAGTAGATCGATATTTGTAAGTTGAACAGTGTTGTTTTGCTTCTGGTGATTTGTTTACACATATAATGATCACCATTTTGAATTATTTTTTGGTTTTGCTTTCATTGAACAACAAACAAATACAAACAAACAAACAAAGAAAAAAAACAGATACGATTTTGACGGCAAGTAAATTTTTCATTGGTATCAAATTTTGTGATGAATGTGTTTTTGTATGTATGATGTGAAACATTAAGAAAAACAAAAACTATAGGATTTTCAACTAAACAAATGACTTCTTAATTTCTATTGATAGTTTTAATTATTTTTTTTCATATCACACATATACATTACACTGGATCATTAAAGTATGTGATGATTAAATTTCTAGGTATCAGTATCAAGGTTGAAGTTGATAGTTTTAAATTAATTCAACATTAGAAGGAAAGTTAATTATACTAAAATAATTATTAAGGTTTGATGATATCTACAACTTTAAAGAAAGGCGAGTAACCGCGGTATTTCATACAATGTTAAATCTCTCTGCCATCAGTAGGAAGGAAGGCCTGGATGTACATCCAACCTGGACTCGATCTGTTTTCTGCACAGTTTTACGCGCGCACGCAAAATTTTTACTAATTTTGACTTTACTACTGCACAGCACAAGTTAGATATTTTTTACCCTCCTTCAGACAGAAATAAACATAGAATCACCTTGGCCAAAAATGATATATCATCGACATAATTAGACTTACTGTGATTTTGATAGTACTAAGAAAATTTTGATTTGTTATCTACTTACTAATTAAACTTGTGTTATTTTACTTTAGTTATTTAAGTGTTTACTCAAAAGAAGTGACTTGCATCAAATCATAAAGTGTCAGAAATACGAATTTCTATTGATTGGGACATTATCAAAAACTGTGATTATTATAATTTGTATTGTTTTAAAGAACACGTTCATAATAAAGTGGAGTTGCGCTTTTTTTTTAACCCAATTCATCTCTCAAGGCTTACTGACGCAGATACTCTAAACTTTTGATTTTAACTACATGATGAATAAATTTTGTAAAACAAAAAACAATTTCCACAGACATTCATCTTTTCATTACTCCATGAAGATAAACAGATCATCGTAAGAATAGATGAGACGCTATTTGACTACAGAAAATCAAGTTACTGAATAATTCCAGTCTGTTTACAATATTTGCCGTAAACAAGTGATAGCGAGTATCTTCCTTCCTGATGAATTAACTACGGTATAACATGATAACATGTTCTCACACTATAGATTTATGAATGAAACCATCTTATGTGATATTGACATCAATTGTGATATTTTTCTAGAGACGTTCTATTTTACTCAGGCTAAAACTGAACTAGAATGATTGGATGACTTTCATTATAAAGAATCAATGATTATATTGGATCTGTTGTTTTCCAAAATCATATCAGTACAGGCCAATTCACTCGATTCCGGTTTTATATTACGTTAAAAGTAACTTCTCAGTTTACAAATTTTATTCATACAAGCTTGTGATAGCTACAATGAAAAAAGTATCACTAAGCAAAACGCCTTATCATTACCAAAGTATCTGTAATCCTTGTAAAGCAACCTACATCCAATTACCGATCAGGTAGCATGTGATACATATTTGTAATCTTTTCTTGCAGTGGTATTTACATAGAAAATTTGAACAAATAAAATGCTGTCCATTATAACTTGTTATACGGACACTTACATCGATTACAATTTCACTATTCTGTTGTTTAATGCAAACTTATTACCGAACAGATGAATTCTATTTGTACTAATCCGATTATTCATCATATCAAAAGTAATTAACGTCAGTAGGGCTTTCGATCAATACTAGGCGTCCAAATATAAACACACAGTCATTTTTTCTACTTTGATCTCAAACTATCTAGTTACAAATATAAGTTTATTTTTCAACCGAATTAGATTAATGTACTTATCCGACATACTTGAGATATATAGATTAGTATAATTACTCATGCTTTATGAAGAGGTAAAGTAGACAGTGTGACATTAGAGACTTCATAGCAAGATTCCTATTAGCATTTATAATTAGAAAAAAAAAGAGCAAAGTAGGGAAAATTTAGTCTATTTAGCTTTAATTCAAAAATGTTTATTTAACTAGAATCAGAGTTGAGTTGGGAATCAATAGCTTCCAGATTTTACAGCTTAAGACACTACCAATTTAGTTCCACTTAGTTATTGAGTTTTGTAAACGCGCACTAGTCATTAGATTCAGGTTATATTTTGCATTCAACATTATCATTATAAATAATCATCATATAAAACTTTTAAAAAATCTAATTTGGTTTGAAATTATATTTGCATATATATTCTGTCTAACTTCTTCAAGTTTTAAGCCATTTTATAGACTCAACAAGCTATTATTACTTGAACTGAATGTCCACTAGTCTTCAATAATAAAATACAACCTTAACCTTGAGAAATTCCTTTTATCAACTAAAATCCGCCCATTCTTAATTCGTCGATCGTATATTTCGCATAATTATGCAAGTAAACGAGCATTCTGACAGCAATCAAGTCATTGCTTAGTCTTCAGTAATAAATAAAAAACAATTTAAACGTAGTTTGAAAAGATTATCATTGTCTACTGTTAAACATAATCCTTCATAGCAAAGAATTATTTAGTTTAATACTAAGTGCACCCAATTCCGTAAGATCCAGTTAAACAATGAAGGACAAAGTTCTATTTCAGTCACAATTGTTGCTGAAAGAACCAGTGAGTTCCGCAAAGTGATATTGTTCATAGTTCAAACCAAATGTCATCAGAAAATTTAAAAAAAAAGTTATAGTGAGTTGCGAAAATAACGCTAGAAACGATTTTTATATCAATCAGTAGAAACACAGAGTTAATATATTATTAACAGTTAATATTCAATTATTGAACATGCACTAAAATAGTGAAAGAAGTAGATTCATTCGATAATTTCATGCAACCAATTTAAGCGTTAATTAGAACTAAAAATTAATACTAGGATAAGTAAATCGTAGGATGTCTCATCTATTTTATTTAATTATAGTACATTAACTAATTGATTGGGCTTTTATGGCATGATAAACAATAAATTAAAAACAATAATTTTAGACTTAAATCAACACCTAATATACGCATGCAATGAACATATTTTCAAGTTGATTCTCAACCTGAAATTGAATTACCCACTATCAATCAGTTCAACTAACTAAATATAAAAAAAAAATCATTATTATTAAAAGGGTATTATTCTTGTAGGAATTATCAATTAGAACTACGAATTTACCTAATAATCAATAAAAAAAATCCTCTGATTATCATTGGCATTTACGTCTTAGCGACTGAAAACAACGTGGGTTTCCTTAGTAGTTGTCATAAGGTTCATTTGTCAAAATAATCCGTGAAAGGAAAAATAAATTTGACAAGCTTTTATTTTTTTCTGACCGACTTAGTCTCGCATGCCTATTATGTGTATTGACGTATTCTATTTCATTTCATTGTGATTAATGACTCATAAATTGCTTGGATTGGTTTAACATTTTCATATATATTATATTAGAGTAAAGCCTGATGACGATCTAATCGAAAACAATATTGTTCGGTTATTATATGTGTTGTAATAATTAACTAACTTAAGTCAATTCACAGTATAAACTATTTGTTAATGAGCTATATCGAAAATATCTTAGACTAGAAGGAAAATAAATATATACATGTCAGTAAAGGTTTTCAAATGCGCTTCAGCTAAAAATTCAAAATATACATACATATTTAGTTTGCCTTCGATCTCAAAAGAAGTGAATGAAAAGAACAAACACGAATTCGTTATGATATCAATTACAATGAATAACATTAAATAAATCACAACAACAACAACGATTTTCTATTAACATGATTAAGTGAACACCAGTGATTACATTAACAAGTGATTCATTTTATACCATCATAAATTGACAAGTTACCTAAAAATATTTTTATTCCTTTTAAGTAAGCAGAACGATAGTGATATACGCTCGTATAAAATTATTATTATTATTATGACAAAACAATTGTGAAATCGGATCAGTTAAATTAAATTCTATTGATTAAATAACAATGAACTATGCAATATTAAATTTATGCTGAACAATAATAACAACAAAAGATTACAATCAATAAATGCTAAGAAATAATCATAGAACCATCCCCAATTTATCATTATTGTCTACAGTTAATGTTACACTTAATCTTTGGAAATCGGATATCATGAATCTTATTGATAGAACAAAATAATCATATCGATCGAATAAATATTGGTGTTTGTACATATGTACATCTACAAGTTTCTTTTAATGCGAATTGGATAGAAATCAGTATGAAAAGACGACACAATGAATAAAAAATAAGGTAAATCGACCAGACAAAGATTTATATATATATAATGTCAACGAAAGGTATTAAATAAACTATTAAATGTCAAGAGTGAATAAAAGACTTCTGAAACAGCTGTAGAAATATTTTGCCTAGATATAGCTCGCACATAGGTTACGATAGGAAGAATATATTCTCAAATTTAAATACAACGAATATATGTATATATATATATATTACAATGCAATAATGATTAACAACAGAACTGGTAATATAATTTGATATATACGCGAGCTGCCTGTTATTTTTACTTGGAACTAGAAGACAAAGATTGATACAAGTCCAGGTCTATTCATCTCAAGAACCGATGACCTTAGCTGAAAATGAGTTCATTAATATTTTGACAAGTACACATATTTGGTGACTAATTAGAAAAAAAGTCGTATAGAAGAAAAACACAAAACTAAAACAAATCACAAACTGCATGCTGAACATATTTCACATTATTATAATACAAAGAATATTGTATTCTGAATCAACATTACACCAAAATACACGCCATACTTAAAAAAATACCATATTGAAAACAAAGCACATAGTAGCGTAATCGTCAGATTGGATTAGAACCGGAAGTCACATTGTACAAAAATTACATTGGGTCAAATAAATAATTCCACTTTTTCAAAGCGTCATATCGAAACTGTTCTAATGGAATATAAAGACTGCTATTCGAAATATTTCAAAGTATAACTGAATAGATCTGGTGAAACTTTAGTAGAAATAAATAGTCAGATGTTTTACTTGTACTCCAAGAGAATATATCAGATTTTTTCTTTACTAAAATCAAAATTTTCTAAAGATTAACACTTTCTCATAGATTCTCTATCTAAATGTAAGGGAAACTCTTGAAATCTGTGATATGTTGAGGAAACAAATAAAAAAGAAAACGCAAAGAGATCTTAATCAGCACGAAAATAATTCATTGGGTTAGGGTAAATCCGTATTCATTCCATTCTATCTGTCAGGTTGACAGTATAGATGAGCTGCAAATATTACAATTATTTCGTCTCCAGAAAAAACTCACGTGTTAGTTAGTATCTGCTTTTATTTGATAAGTGAATTGGTAAAGTAAAGGTGTGTGTTTATAACAACAGCAAATGTCGAATCGTAAGAGATAAAATCGAACTAAAGATTATCAGACAGATTTCTCATAATCACATTAGCCATTTCTGACCACATCACAATATTGGAGAAACCGAAAAAAATGAAGCGTTTCATATAACTAATACATTCGCAAGTGCCTATAATATCATAACTAATCTCTATCATTAACATCACTACAAAAAATTCATATGAGTCAATGCATACACAAGTAATAAATAGATGATTATTTAACGTAAAAGTTTATATTTTCAACATTTCTACCATTTTCAGTGACCATGCATTATGACTAGTAGAAATATTTTTTTTATTTACAATCGTACAAGTTCAATTCAGATTTGTGAATATATTAATCACTTGCATCAACTGATTGATATCAAACTACAGTATGACTAACAGTTATGTTATCCTAGGAAATAATTGTCTTACACTTATTTCACTTAGCATTGATTTATAAACGATATACGAAACCAGATGAAAGAGAATAAATCAAACTTGTTTCTTCTGATACTTGCTAACCTACAAACAAAAAATTCAATGAATTTAAAGCTATAATGAATAAATCGATAGTCTATTGCACTTTCATATCATAAACACTACACACATATTCATGTTTTATTTGACAATTTAAGTAAGTGGCATGTTGGTTAATGAGGTTTTTTAGCCAACAAATTCCAAGTTTGAAACCGTTGTTGTTTAATTTCGGATTTGGGCAAACTTCACGAACACACTGAGACTCATAATTGAACACGTAAACTAGGTAAACTCAGTTACAATTATCATTACCATTACCTTTATCGACAATATGAATTTGAAAAAAAAAACAATCTATTGATCAACAATAATCCTTTTCATTTTAAATAATAAAAAAATGAAAATGAAAACATGAGGAACTGCAAAAGGTCCACCTACAAGAAAAATAATAATTCATCAATTAAGAAGCATTGATAGAAAAACTTAAATTGTTGATGCATGTTGAAAAAAAATGGAACAGAAACAACAACAACAACGACAAAGAAAAAAACAAAAGGTGTGTGAAATAAAGAATTGAAGAAAGAAAGAAGGACAAAGGAAGCGGGAAAAAAAATAAGAAAACAATAACACATAAGGACAAAACTAATTCTGACTGAACGTAATAATAATAAGCAAAGAAATTTGATTGTTTATTGTTGAATGAATGTTCAAACGCTACTTCAGAAAGACTGAACATTAACTCTATTATTGAACTAGGCAGATGGGCAAAGAAAAAACAGTAATGAGAACAAACAAGCGGAATATTTTTAAACAAATATTTATTTATACATGCATATACATATATATATATATATATATATATATATATATATATATATTTATATATGTCTGTAATGGAGGTGTAAAACAGAATAAGCAATGTAATTCTGGAATGATTGATTGTATGTAGCATGGAAGTGAGAAGAAACAAGCATACCATTTTCTTATTTTATGTAAAACACAAAAATCCACAAACAAGATTAAACAGAAAGCACATAAAATTTGAATAAATGAAAAAATTTGAAGCGTTAAAAGACAATTATTGGGACCTCAAAGCAGAAAACAGAAAGAGAGAGTAATAGAAAAACACAGAAATATGTATGTACTGAAATTAAGATAACTATAGAGGAGAAAGCCATAAAATAGATCTACTTTGTTTCGCTTGTTTGTTCATATGACTGAATGTTTTTGTTCTCGTTAACATGCAACAAAAAGGCAAAGTAAAGAGATCGTATGGAAAGACGCAGGACAACATCTGTTCAACTTGTGCAATGAAAACAGAAATAGAGAACAAAAATCTATATTGCAGCAAATGTTAATAGATGAGAAATCATCATGCCGTATATATATATAAATATATATATATATCATGAGCGAGAGATAAATAGATAGATATAACTTGGTGAAAACACCTGAAAAAGCGAATAAAACACCGGGCTGTCGAAATACAGTTGATGATTGAAAAGCAGGCGTGTATATCGATCAGACGATCAAAACATTAGGGCGCCGATGTTACAAATACCAATACTGCCTTTATAAGGAGGTGCTTATTAAAACCAGAACATTCGGATTTCGGACTAAGGAAACTAATTCACTTTGAAGCTAAACAGAAAAGAAATGTTTGAAAAAAAGTGAAATTACAATTCATCAAATTTAGTGATTATTAAAATGCTAAATAATTTATAAATTTTTACTTCAGATTCGATAATTATTTATTCACTTTAAGATTGAGTATTACAAAGAAGTACAACAGAATTAGCGAGCGTAAATGTTGCATTGCCTTGAGAAATTAATTAACTCCATATCAGAAACAAACTTTTGACAAAAGAAATAATTACGATGTACTACGTAACACTTTTTTCCATTAAACGCCCGTATATTATCAACATAAGTATTGAATATGTAAACATGGAAGATAACAATCCAGTAGAACAATTTCATCAGATTTATTAAATTATTTCCAACTAATCAATAATTTTAAATCCGCTAGGAGCCCCTCTGGGGCTACTGCCAGTCCCAAGCCCGATAAAGAAGGAGTGTTGAACACGAGGTTGGCGACCTCATCTCATTTAAAACTAACACGCCAAAAAACACTAACGAGGAAAATAATTCAAACCACTTAAACACTGCTCAAGGAGTTAGAAGGTCCTCTACTAGAAGAGTTATGACGTCGCATGATGAAAGCCCAGTTTCTTCAAAGGTCACGAGGCCGATTTCCCTTCTGCTAACCTGAGAAACAATTAGTAAACGCACATTGGATGTTCACGAAATGTCGGAGACCGGTGGAACTATTTAATTTAACTTAATGGACAACAACTGAGGAAGGACCAAAGAAACAACAACTTCTACACGTCACGAGGTTTCGGGTCACAACAAGCACCATCACAAACAATGGATTTCTGTTGATACTTCGGATAAGATTCAAGCAAGGAATAACAGGAAAGACCAACCAATAACATTCGAATCAGACAGAGAAAGCTGAGGCACAAGCTGAATACATAAATGTGAACGAGCAAGTGAAGAAGAGCATCGAAGCTGGTTAAAGTAAATATGTGGAAAATTTAGCAGACGGAGGAAAAGGCTGCAAGTGAAGAAAACTTGAGACAATTGAATGATACAACACACAAGCTCCCTGGAAACCAACGAAAACCAGAACAACCAGTGAAAAGCAAGGAAAGAAAAGTAATCAGTAACATTAAGAAAACGAAGAAACAGAAGGGTAGAGCACTTTGTGGACTCTTGAATCGACCAGCCCCACTGAACCCACTAAACATTGAAGCAGAATCTAGACTTTTGAATCAATGTTGTCCCAAAAAAAGATTACAGCGATCGGTAGGGCCATCAGATAAATCAAGAGCGACAAAGCAGCGGGACTAGACAGCATTACGACAGAGGCAATAAAATCATACGTGGCAGCAACTGTAAAATACTCTACATTCTCTTTACCCGACCGAAGCTGCTACCTTGACGTGGTGGTCGGGCTTGCCTATCGTGATGACCCAACCGAGCTATACTGGCTGGAACACATGTTCCTGCAGGTCCTACCATGCCAGGCAGGTCGATTGGAGAACGATGAGACTAAAAGCAGCTACCCAAGGTCTGAGGGCGAAGTCGTACTGCTGACTGCAGAGGGGTGTGACAGCAGTAAGGTGTTCCCCTCGGACAACCAGCATCTGCAGCGATGCTGCCTTCTCACAAGGAAGGAAGGGTTAGAAAAGGTCGGCCCTAAAAATGTCACACCTCCCCTAATTCACGGATTTCCGTCTCCTTGGGTTAAGGGTGCCCACTAAGGGCCTTTAAGAACGGAGCTAATCCTCTAAATACCTCTCATAAAAAGGCCGTGCGTGACCGGCCTCAAGCAGTTGTCCCTTGGACTCTGCGGTCACGCACCAACACTAATCCATCTTCCTTTTCAGGTCCCTCAAGAAACAACCTTCCACGGTGTGGGCAGCCGGGAAGTGATAACCGCCCTCATACCCGCAACAGCACACGAGACAAAATTGGCCAAAATCAAATCCTTCCTACATTCCCTAATACCTCTCTTATCTCCACAACTAACTCTTCTCACATTCATTTATTACAGTGCACAGCTAATGCAAACGATGCGAGTTTGCGAAACGTCGTTCCTGGTCTCCTTAAACCCCGTTCCAAACTACATGTTGGAGCATTCAATGTACGGACATTGTGTCAAATAGGGCAACAGGCATCATTAGCTAGGACTTTAGAATCTCGTGCCATCGATGTGTGCTGCGTCTCGGAAACGCGCATACAGGATCCGAGTAGCATCACTCATTTGACCTCACCATGTCAAGATAAAGAAGCAGCTCGATTTACCCTTCGTGTATCCGGTAGCCCTGATGCTGCTTCTAGGGGCCTCGCCGGTGTAGGTATAGCATTGAGTCGTAGGGCAGAACAATCTCTCCTTGACTGGATCCCTGTAGATAGTCGCTTGTGCAT